CTGGCAACACCTATCTTACAAAGAAATAGAATAAAAAATTAAAATGGGAAAAGATCAAATAGAATAACGTCACATAAATAAATGAAAACAAGGACCTCACACATGACTAATACAAAAGATGGACATTACTCAACTGAAGCAGAGAAGACATAACAAATCTCTTCAGGACACTCCAACAACCTTCAATTGTCAGTCTCTGACTCATAAAGGAAGATGATTAACAAAAGACGTTATCTTTTAAGTGCTTTTAGATTCAAACAAGTAAAAAACAAATAGACATGCCACTTTAGCACCACTGACTGCATTTTTAACAGGCCTACTGATCATTCCACCAAATGTAAATAAGTGCTCTACTGGAGGCTGCTGTGCTATATGGCACAATGGAGATCCTAATAAATGAAAAAAACAAAAACAAATGGCAGCCAAACTGTCTGATTTTGCTGGAATATAGTCTGAATCCCCTTTGGCTATGCACCAAGTCTGAAAGAAAGAAAACATTTTCACGAAATCAGCCAAAAGGAAGCCTTTTAATTAGACACAGAGAATTCACTAACAAAGACCACGGAAGTGAAAGTATTCAGAATATTTATTGCACATAATGGATAAATGTGAACCAATATGATAAACTGTAGGAGCGATGAATGGATGGGAAGAGGGTTGAGGGATGAGGGATGGAGGAGAAATCAGGTTTGTGAACGGATGGATGAATGGATGGACAGAGGAGTTTGGGCAAGATGGTGGGAGGGACCCAAGTGGGTGATGAGACTCTAAGTCGGGGAGCCATCTATTCTTATGTCTTCTCTAGAGCCCGAGTGGTTCCCCTATTTGAATAAGAAAGAGAAGTGGAGATGGCTTTGGGGGTGATGTGAAAACTAAGTCAAAGAGGGAGTGAGATGAGACTTCATTATGTACACCAGCTGCACCATGTTCCCATTATTAAAATTCATTTTTCCACCCCGTTTTTACCCAATTCCCTAATGTGCTTGCAGTCTTTATCCCTGCTAACTCTACTGTTGGCCTGTGGAGAGGTGCAGACAGAAAAGGCTTTATCCATTACACACAGTTTCACCAGCCACTTCTTTTCACCTGCCAGTAATGAGCTTCGCCTATTCCCAGACAGGAAACTGATATTAGGCTATGCTGCAAAACCCCCAAGTTACATTTTTGTTAT